AAATCTATGTCTTAGAGCATATGTCATTTGTTTTGGGATATGCAAATGTGTTAAATATAAAATTGTAATTATATTCTGGGGTAAGTGAATTTTTCAATAATCACTTTAGCAGTCATGCTTATTTCTGGCTGTTTCTGATTAATCTGGAGCACACTAAGTAGACTGTTTCAGAGGAGGCGCGTTGCAAAGGACAGGTGCAAATAGAAAATCTGTTTTGGTGGCTGTTATTAATCTGCCATGCAGTGTCTGATAATCCTGTTGCTTACTATATCTGTCCATCTCTGTGTGAGATACTTACAGTTGTGCTGCCCCCTGCTGTCCATGTCCAGGCGAGCAAGCGGTGACAAAAGACAGGGATTCACTGTCGTACACCCCAATCACTTCCTCATCTGTGATAATGTCAAAAACACCATCGTCCAGTTTCTCATCTCCACCTGCTCCTAGAAGATAAACATCATACTCACCATAGATCTTTATTCTTAGCTCTTACTGTAGTGTGTATATCACTACTGTGTCCCCAATATAAATTAAATATGTAAATATTTTATCCTTTGACACATTAATCCAGTGAGTGTGTATGAGACTACCTGAAACACCGCTTACAGCCAAGCCAGCCTGCAGAAAGCGCCTAAATGGTGTTCCCGGTGTGCTGTGAGTCACTTCTTCCTGCGGGTGGCGCTCAACTACTGCACTGTGCTGGTTGTAACAGTCCTTACAGCAGCGCTCTCTGTTGCCACCCTGCTGGGTGCTCACCGTGTTGCTGCAACAGTAGTAGCAGAAAGGACGACCACACAGCCTAGAAAAAGGCAAAAAGATTGAGACAGAGCGTGTTAGTGCAACTCGCTGTGAAATGTTCACTGGAGAGAATTGACCTGTGCGTTGTAGTTCCTTTTATGTGAAGTATAGATTTGTACAAAAAGAAATGAAACTATCAAAGGTAAAAAAAAAAAAAGGGCATTAAAAAACAGAAGAAGTGTAAAAATGTAACTTGTAGGACTTGATAGTTCCTTAGTTTTCAGCCTTCACCTCTGGGTAGTCAGCAGTCTCTGATCTAAAACCCTAAAGCAGTGCTATGGGACAAAACATGTGACTCATAACAGCTACTTCAGAGGTGGAGTGGATAAACAAGAAAAAAGCTCAATTAAATGACCTATGAGTAAAGCTTGAGCACTACTGATGTAAGGTAAAAGTAAAGGAAGAGCATTTAGGCATGTAAATGTGGTTAAGAGGACCTGCTGAAGCTCCAACAGAGCATCAGAACAGGGAAGAAAGCTTTAAGTGGCGTTGAACTTGACCGTGTTGTTGGTGCAAGACAGGCTTGTGTGAGTGTTTAAGAATCTGCTGATCTACTGGAATACTCCCACACACCCATCTGTAGGGTTTACAGACAATGGCTTTAAAAAGAGGAAATCTACAATGAGCAACAGTTCTGAGTAACAGTGCCTTGCCAGAGGTCAGAGCTGAATAGTAACGCTGCTTCAAGCTGATAGGAAAGCAACCACTTGTTACTACCAGTTTATGCAGAAGACCATCTCTGAATTTACAACACACCGAATGTTGAAAAGGACGGATTACATCACCAGAAGATTGTACCGAGTGTCACTCCTATCAGCTCAGGAAACGTCCCGCAAATTCTCGAATTAGTGCCATGAAGGTTTGAGGCAACTATGAAGGCAAAAGAGGGTCCAACCGGGTACATTTGCTGAATTGAGGGTGACATATTTGTGAGGGATACCATTCAGTGGTAGAACAGAGTATATCTGAAAAATGATCACAAAGCCTCATGAGGCACAAAGAGTTCTGTATCATAGTCACTTTGACTTTGTCTTCACTTCCCTCAAGTCACTGAGGGTCACGGTCATGCATTATCATGTCCTACACATGTGTGCATGTTTTGAATAAGCACAGTCTTTTGCAGAACTAAGTTTGTAGAAGTGCTTTGCAATGCACAATGTAAACCAAGTGAGGAATGTGTGAGAAAACAGTCATCACACAACCACAGTGTAAACAAGCAGTGAATGACCTCAGAGTGTTGAGAAGCTGTGAAAGAAATGAGTGTGTTTTTACTGGTTGGTGCTTCCAAGCAGTTTCTGTTTTGATGGACCATCACCTGCAGCTGTACTTGCGGAACCACCAGCTGAACTGAGTGTGGCAGCCCAGACAGTAGTTAACGTCCCTCTCCGACTCCTCATCCCGCAGCTTCTGCTCAAACTCCAGAGCGTCTGACTTCTGCCAAAGGGCATCTTTGTCCCTGCAACAAGCACAAGCATATTTGTACACTTTTCAAAATCCG